TCTCCACACATCGGCAGCGACAGTAAACCTAGATCTCCCGAACAATGTCGGGGGTCTGAGCAGAAATCGAGCCCAGAACCTTCATATACACAAAGGTGTCACTAGATCAGAACAGACTTCTAGAGAAATTTTGTCAGTCGGACTGCAATATATGTGGTTCATATACCCCCCCTGGCGGACGGTGGGACCATCCATGGCGGATGGTCCGCCGGACGGTCGACCGTCCGCGGACGGCAATTGCCTTACGCAATTCGCAGGGGGTTGTTGTAGTATCCTGGGTATCACGGGATTTGTCATCCGCCGATCGGTTCTTTTCTGCAAAACGACGTGATACACCAATCCTCTGTGAAACACTTTTATCGTTTACGGACCCAGCGTGCCCTGGTATAATAAATACGGACTATCCCTATCTGTTATCCTAGGATACGCATATAACTTTAGACGACAAAACAGTTAGCTTACAGACGTACAACACCAACATCAACAAAACGTGTGTGTAATGCAAATGCATGCAGGTGTCAGCACTTTCTTCTACCAGTCTGCAGTAATTAACTTTACGACGGATCCGTATGCCATTCAAATCTGGTCTGATCCTTACGGTTACTGCACGGGGGGGACTTGTCCACCGGATTACCAGTGCAAGTATTTCTACAAGTCCTACTACACACCAGATCCCGTTACCAACGCGACTTTCCATGTGGAAGCTGACGATAATGCTACGCTGTTTGTGAACAGTAATAGCCTTCTCCCAAAAGCGTCAATTGTTAGGGTACTGACCTTCATTTCTGTCGATCTGCTGGCAGGCCACAACATCCTGGCCTTAGAAGCCTGCAACGGATTGGGCCACAGTTGGGTATCAGGGACACTGTTCGCTCCAAATAATACTGTGCTGCTGCGTACGGACGAGACATGGGTTTGGACAGAGTCGAAACCACTGCCACTACCTCCAAGCCCGCCTAATCCTCCACAACCACCTAGCCCGCCACCGCCACCATCACCCCAGCCCCCCCGCCCG